CCTTCCCCCTCAAGAAAAAGGAAAGGCTTAGCCCATATTGAGCCCCAAAATTAATAGATTTTAAGATTATTATCTCTATTTAAAAATTTTAAGGATGTTTTTTTTTTTTTTTGACCAAGTTTTACAAGGGTGGGTTTCGAACCCACCATGGGGAAGGGGGGTAATGCACCTGCAAGCGCAGCCCGAAGGTCACTTAGCCCAGAGGGCCAGGTGCAAAATTTTTTTTTTTGAAAAGCAAAGAAATTATATTAATGTGAGTACAAGGGGTATTCAAACCCTTAAACATCAGTGTGTAAAGCTATTGGTAGAATTGTGGACTAAATACAAAAAGCCAAGAATACTCCATAATAAGACTCTTGGTCTCCAATTCCCCTTCTAGCTTCTATTTCCTATTGGTCAGACACCTCACTGGATTAGAAATCCATTCCAAGAAAGAAAAGTCTAGGTTCAACAGAGTTCTAACCCAGTGAAATGAACGGCTTTGTACAAGTTTAAACAGCTTGTCCTCATTAATCTTCTTGTGCTGAAAAGCAGTTTCATTTCTATGCAACCACAATGACCACACTATAGTAAACCATAACATGTTCCAACCCTTTTTTAGAGTCCTTGAACCCTTGTGCCATCTGTGTTGGTTGAAAACATCAAGACAAATATTCCCAAGTACGTAATGTAATCCCCACCAGTTGAGACATTTTGTCCATAATTTGAAAGAGATGTTGCAGGACACAAAAAGGTGATCTATATGTTCAGGGGATTGATCACACCAAAGACACTTTATATTTTCGTTTCCATCTAAAATCCCACGCATTGCCAAGTTAACCTTTGTAGGGATTCTATCTAAAAGCAATTGCCATGAAAAAGCACTTACTTTTGATAGAACTTGTGCACTCCACAGTTTTCTGTACTCCATTAGCCTGTTATCCTCTTTCTTTACAAGTTGCTCGTAGGCAGATCTTGTGGTATATTTTCCCTCACCATGTAGCCTCCAACTCCAATTGTCCTTCTTGTCCTGCGTTGGCTTTATGTGTTGTATAGCCTCGGTTAGTTGTTTCAATTTGTCCTCTTCCCAGGCTCGAAGTCTTCTTCTCCATTGGAACCTCCAAAACCAGCACCCATCTACCCAATGTCCCATATCGTAGATGCTGCAATTTTTTTTTATAGCCAACAAGAAAAGTCTGGGGAAAATATTAGCTAAAGTGTCCCCCCCTGCCCATGCATCATTCCAAAACCTAACACTTTTCCCATCACCCAAATTCAACTTAAAATTTGAAAACAGCCACTCATCCTTTCCATCTAAGCCTCTATTCAATTTACAAACATCATTCCACCAAGATGATCCTAAGCCCCGACACTCTCTCAGCCAGGTGCAAAATTTTAAGGATGTTAGTTACTTAAGATTTAAAAAAATTCATTCTTATTTCATAAATTTTAGATGTACTTCTTACGAGAGCATTAGTTAGACGTCATACCTATTCTACTCAGTGATACATCAACGTCCTCTTTCTTACTTGGTGTCAACATCCTCTCTCTTACCTGGCATGCCACGATGGTAATGGGAGAGTAGGCCCACATTATATTGGATGGGATGCTTCCACTCATTGCCACAGTAGCATTCCAGGTAAGAGAGAGGATATTGATATGTTGCTAGTGGGATATGGGCAACGTCTGATACTTTTTCATCGGGTGAGTAAGCTTTTTGTAATTAGATAGATGGTCAATGGGCCTAAGGCCTTCCTCTATGGTGTCTGATATTTATGTAAGAAGTAAATTTTAAATCTGTCAATATAAAGTGAATTTCTTGAAATTTTGTTGTTGAGGGGTTAATAATTATAAATTTTTTTGTGTGGGGCTAATAACTTTAAAATTTATAAATTAGAGGGCTAAGTAAGAAGGTTAAGCTCAAAAAAAAAAAAAAAAAGAAAAAGGAAAGGAAAAAAGAATCAATACAAAAGAACTTCAATAGAAAGCTTGCAATAATATATTCAATCGGCCATCTAAATGATAGTGTAGTAATGTGCGGTAGAAGCACTTAAATAAAGCAAACCCCATTTCGTTTCGAACTACCTGATTGTTGTTGTAAATTAGAAAAAAAAAAAACATGTAGAAAAAGAAGAAGGGATTAGAGAGAGTTAGAGATATAATGCAAAAAACTATGATGTTTCTAGTCTTTTCACTACACCATTTGTAAGAAGACAAGTCCTCTGTATATACTAAGTGGGTGGTAAAAGCTACAAAGACTAAAAATAATAATAAATGGGACCAAAGTTTGGGACAAAAATCCAAAATTAATGACGGGGCATAAGTCATGTCATTTAAAATATTAAAAAGTAAATATTATATTATTTAATGATTAGTTCTTTTTGCTTTTTTGAAATTCATAATATTGTATATACCAACTAATTTAATAATGTGGCTTATGTCATGTCATTGACCCTAAATTTTCATTTCAAATTTTTGTCCTCCCTATCATTACTCAAAGATTAACCATCCACCAACACCAAGTGATGAGTTACAAAAATTTATTTACCCACTAATTAAGCCACAAAATGAGGAGTTACATGGTGAGACTTAATCACCATTGTTATTGCATGGAAGAAGTGATGAAAGGTGAGGGAGATAAATAGTTGAAGGTGAAACATAGACCAAAATAAATTTGCTTCATAAGACTTCCCCTCAGATGTTTCACCATTTATTAAAAACATCTAACTATATACTTTAGGAATATGAAGCTAATGATCTTTTTATTCTTGCAAGGATTTTCATATAAATATAATTATCATGTAGTCAAATGTTATAACATCTCTCTCTTGTCCTCATTCTCACCTTCTTCTCTTAGTTCTTCTTTTCTTTTAGCCACCATCTCTATTCCCCTTGACAGTTAGGGAGAATGAATAAAGGTGTGATTGTCTCACTTTATTTGAGAGTTTTCTCTCTCAAAGAGGTTTTGTCACCCTCTTTTAGGAGTTTCTACCAAGACTTTCTTGATGTATATCATTGAGTTTTGCTTATAGTAGAGAATAAAGACAACATAGATTTGAGTATGAATGAGCTTGGTTTGATTGCTGCGCACTTTCTTCAGCTGTGGGTCACATGGTTAGGGGTGAGGGTCCCTAGTTAATCTTTTGCCTTAAGAATTGTAATTGCATGCTAGAAAAGAGTGGTACAATCGATGTGGTTGCTAGAGACAATAAGAAAGCCCAAGGTCATCTTTCTATGTGTTTATATAGTCTTATTGATACCTTATGGCGATTACTGATACTTTGAGATTCTTTACACTTAACGGTTCATATATTTTATGAGCATTTTCTGTTTTTATTACTGTTATAAAATCTTTTTAATCTTTTTATTTTTTTTCTATTTGGTGTATATGGCAAAAGTATAGCTCGGACTCTATCTGTTTTAATCTTTTTAATAAAACTAGGTTATTCTAGAAAAAAAAAAAAAGAAAAGGGAAAAAAAGTCAAACTTTAATCATATATTCTTGATAAATCATATTTGGTTACTGATTTGTGTCAATTTTGGATTTATGGCAAAATTTTGGCATTTCTCGTGCAATGGAATTAGCAGCATACGACAATATGACATGCAAAATAAAACTACTAGATGCAACAATGGTGATAATTATACCATACACGGAACTCTTCGCTTTTCATTCAAAAAGAAAGAAAAAAAAACCAGACACATAACTCACCACATGCTACGAATCAACCTTAAATATATATATATATATATATATATATTGGAGAATAGACGATTAACCTCAAATGTTTTGTTTGGTTTTATAAATATTGACAACGACCAGAATTCTATATCGGCTCCACCGTAGGAAACCTCTTTTGTTACCGTAGGCTGCTGTCTGATGCCAGAAAGCTCCATAACCAACGGCAATCGCAGATTTAGCTAGAGAAGACGTTGGTAGTTGGTACATACTAGTAGGAATTAAAAATAAAAAAAATAAAAAAAAACCTCAAATTGATGTGATTTTATGGCATTAAAATCTTTTTTTTTTTTTTTTGTTGAATAAATCTTTGTTTTGTGTGAATGTGGAGAGTTGAAGGGAACAAAGATGACGAGGGGTCGAACATGTTTAACGTGGGTAGTGGGAGTAGGCATTGGACATATGGTGGGGCCCAATTGTAAGATTTGCCATGCGATTTTGATTTTGAGGGACTGGTTGTACACCTAAAAAATTAAAAAGTGATTCAAGTTGTGTTAGCAACGTGCAATTGTCCCAGCTGATGCCAACACCGCACATGGAAAAAAAAAAAAAAAATCAAGGAAAAAGGAAAAAAAACGTGGTCCCCTTAGCAAATAGGCTTGAGTTTAAAAAATTACATTAAAATGAAATTTGAATGGCTAGGATTTTGGCCCATTGAAAGCTGTTGGTATGAGTATGAGGGGTGGTATAAGGTCTCAGAAGTTTATTAAATTTGGATATCGTACGAAATGATATAAGTATTAAATTTGATTATAAAAGTGTTAATCTTTTAAGTCGTGTTATAGGCTTAAATTGTGGGGTAAGTACTCCGTGAATGTGTCCAAATAGCCCTTCCCACATCACCATTAATTCAACCTATCGAATTGACCTACGTAACTTAAGGCCCAACTGAACTTTTGCCTTGAACTAGTGACTATCAGCCCTAACAATAGCTGGACACCCTTGGGTGGCATCCACACCTGACATACTCTTCTACGACTATTGTAACTGTGTCACATGGACATTACTTTTTTGAGTTTGTAAATACCCGTGAGAATTGATCTCAAGATATATTCATTACCTTGTTCTTCTTCCTCCCATCTAAGGCAACCGAGCCAAATATTGCAAATTTAAGTGTCAATGGGTCTGCCTCAAGTTCCACCGTTGAATTTTTAGATCAATTCAACTTAGACAACTCGGGGTTCAGTAAGCAGGATCATAGACCTAATTCATGCATTTTCAGGTATTTAATGAAATTTAATTTGCTTGAATGTACATGATTGAAATGTGAAGTGAAATTTTACAATTGTTAAGAAAATTATTACTCTCAAGACACATAAACTAATCAAAGAACGTCTTAAAATCACACATAGATGGAAACTATACTCTGGATTGATGCAAAACCTTCACTGCAACGTTGCTACATGTTCCACGTGGTGGGGATTTTGTTCCATCATAAATGGACTGTCCTGGACCAATTTTATATCTTGATATTGAACCTTGTCAATGTATGGTCGATATCTCTAGAACGTGGCATGTATCTTCGCTTTTTGTTCGAGTTATGGCCAAAATCATAGTACATTTCCTATCACGAATTCCTTAATACAATTTAGTTTATCTTTTGACAATTCTTTAAAAAATTGTATTGTGACATTCCTTAATACGATCAATAACTGAACATCAGTTTGGGATGAAATAGTGTTCCCGTTGTTGGTTTGTGTCTATTAAGAATGTCATATGCTTCTTGGGCTTACCTTAATGATATTCTGATTTTTTCCATTGACAGTTGTGAGATGAAGAAATTTCATTGGACAAAGATTATTGGGGCTACCATTTGGTACTTCAGGACTCTAAGAATGGAATCTTTTCAATGGCATGAACATATGCTAAAAAAGTTTGTTATATCGCCAGCTGTGCTTCTCTCCAATCCCTTGTGGCATGTTATGGATAATTTGCATAGGAAGATGGTGGACAGAGGTCGTGGAGCAGTTCCCGTGGTGCTCATCAACGGTCAAGTGCCTGTTCAAGAGAAGCAACCTAGGCATTTTCAAAGCAAGCATTCTTTAAAGCTCACCAGCATTGAAGCAAAAAATCTAGTGGGAGCAACTAACTGTTGCAAACCACAAACTTAAAAGCAAAAGAAAATAAAAGTATTGAACAAGCCCAAAAAATAATAATAATAACTACAGTGAAATGAAACTAAAAGCTAGAGCTCTAAAAATGCAAGAACTTGAAAGCAATGTTGAATTACGTACAAGAGAAAACGAAGAAAGGGAACAATAGCTTACAATTTAAAGAACGAGAAGGAACATACGCTGGGCGTCGGTGCCTGGAGATCAGTGTTTTGGGCGTAAACTCTAATTTAAGACGCTGGTTTTCCAAAGTTGTTAATTTTGGAGCTGGGAAGTAAAGCTATTTTTTCCTCTCTTTTTTTGTTCATCAGCAAATATCAGTGCGTTTAGATTAAGGGAGTTGGAGAAAAGGGGAGAAGAGCGGGGGATAGGGTATGCTGCAATAAAAAAGAGGGATAGGGGTAAAAAATTTGAGATGTTTTAACATGGCCTTACTTGGTAAATGGTGGGCAAGATTGATAGAGGGTGAGAAGGGTTTGTGGGCTAGGGTATTAAAAGAAAAATATGGAGGCGAGGCAGGGAATTGGGTATCATGGCTGAAGGAAGGTGAGGGCACAGGGTCACCTTGGTGGAAGGATATATGCAAGATAAATGTAGGCTCAGGGAATATGGAAGAATGGTTAGCTCCAAACTTTAAAGTAAACTTGGGTGATGGGAGAAAGGTCAGGTTCTGGAAGGATGCATGGGTGGGTGAGATTTCACTTGCTAATGCTTTTCCTAGATTGTTCTTATTGGCTACAGATAAAAGTTGTAGTATCCAAGATATGACCTTATGGACAAATGGAGGCTAGTCGTGGAATTTTCAATGGAAAAGACCATTGTGTGCGTGGGAAGATGACAAAATGCAGCAAATGCTCGAGGACATAAATCACATTAAGTTGATGCAAGATGCTGAGGACACTTGGAGTTGGACGATTGACACGAAAGGAAAATATACTACAAGATCAGCATATGAACAGCTCACAAGAAAAGAAGATACTAGATTGTTGGAACACAAAAAGCTGTGGGGAGCGCAGGTCCCATCAAAAGTGAGTGCATTCTCTTGAAAATTAATTCTTGATAGAATTCCTACTAAGGTTAATTTAGCAAAGCGTGGGGTTGTAGATGGAAATCAAAATATTAACTATGTATGGTGCGACTCATTTCTTGAACACACCGACCACCTGTTTCTATCTTGCAACATCTCCTTTAAACTATGGACAAGATGTCTCAATTGGTGGGGGGTACATTATGCACTCGGGAATACTTGCATGGACGTCTTCTACCAACATATCTGGTATAAAGGTCCAAAAATTTTGAGAAAAAGCTAGAATATATTATGGTTTGCCATAGTGTGGACAATATGGTTAAGCAGAAATGAAACAACTTTCCAA